TGCTTGCTAGGTGTTGCATGCCATTCTAGCTATATCGTTTTGCATGCCTCATAGTATTTAATGTTCTTTTACTTTTCTTAGTGAAACTCTTGCAAAACTTCTCTGTGAACACAAGCAAGAAATAAGAACGCTAGTGCAAGCTACGATCCCTCGCACAACCCCGTGCCCTCCTCCGTAGTCCACTCCCATTGTGTAGTGACTCTCCGCATACAGTACCCATGACGCCGAACCCCGACAACCCATTACCACGTGCGCAACATTTCGCCGAAATATTACAGGCAGCTCGGACCCGAGAAGCGGATGCCATTAAAAAAATGAACGTCATCGCCAATCGCCACCGCCGCCCCGTCACTTACCTGCCCGACGACCTTGTACTGATCGACACCCAGAACCTCTGCCTGCCCATAACCCCAAAACTCTACCCCCGATACTGTGGGCCATTTTGAATCAGCCACACGATAACATCCGTCATCGCCCACCTCCTCCTGCCCGCCGACTGGTACGTCAGCACATCCTTCCACATCAGCCTCCTCCGCCCCTACGTCCCATCAACGAGTCAACTGCCACGCAGTCGCTCATCCAGCATGACGCAACCACCTACAGAGCCCGTCATCACCCCCGAAAAGGTATTGAGCCACCGAGTTCGAGACCCACGTGGAGCCCGCAGGATCGAGTTCCTGATTCGCTCGAAAGACCGCACCCCCACGGAAGACAACTGGGTGCCCCTGGATAAAATTGAAAACCACCCCGTCCTCGCCGAGTATCTGCTCAGCCGCAATTTTCGAGATGTACACGCTAGTCTCTTGTAAGGGGAGCCTCCTTGGAGATGGGGGTACTGTAAGGAAAATTCATTTCCCTTACCTCGCGCCCCTGCTTAACGCGTGCACGACTGTTCCCGCCAACAGCATCCTAGAGTAAAACGTTACTACTCGCGACACTCGCCTTGACAACTGTTCCCGCCACTGTGCACATCGCGACCCAACCTCACGGTTTGGTTGGTAACCCGCGCTCCGGCCCTCCGCCTCGACAATTCTCAACCTCGGCGCCAGGCCTGTCGCGCACCACATTCTTGCGCATTACCGTTACCACGCTAGGCTTCGCTATACATTGTTCGCTCATTCCTTTGCTCGTTGGTGCTGTTCTGTAGGCGTTATTGCTTCCGCATGAAATGTACGGGAAGGTCCTTCCGAGTAGCTTCTCGCCGCACCCAAATTTCTCATCTCTCAATTTGCTAGGCAGAGGTTGCCAAGAAGTCTCGCTCATTTTCGCAATCTCTCAAATTGCTGCTCCGCATAACTTTTGCACTGGCTGATGCTGGCTCTCGAGGCTGAATTGGCAGCACACAAGTTGTGCGAACATTTGCCTAGCGACGCAAAATCTTGGAACCTTCAGCCCGTTAAATTTGTGCGCCCCAAAAGTGGTGTTCTGCAGGCACAAGCGGATAATTTGACGTGGACAGGCTCGGCAGCACCTCTCGTATCACCAAACCTTGATAAGATGAAAACCTCTTATCAAAGAAGATTCCTCCCACCCGGTTTTTGAAAATTTAACGCCTACAGAACAGCGCCATTGTATTCTTGCTTGGATAGTGCAGTCCTCGTTCGCTCACTCAATTGCACTCGTAACAATACTCAACAAAACACGATACCCATGCATCAATTCTGTGTGTGGTGATTTGAAGCTTGACGCGGTATGGAGTTACCCTGTGTAAGGAATTTTCTCGACATTCCTTACCGCGACCATCAACATCGCGTACAGAAACAGCCGTTGTTCGCCCGTTACTTCTAACGGGGCTTCGCCAACTTCGCGCGCACTGTTTCACCAAACCATGCACTGCTGGCCCAGCCGAGTCGGCCTACGCTTCGGGACTAGCCCGAACCTCAATGCCAGCATAGCACCAGCTAGCTCGCACGCACCGCGTAACCGTTTCGTGTTTTCGCATATAAGTATTCGCTCATGCCTTCGCTCATACTTTGTATCTTTTGCCCACATAGTGCAATCCTCGCTATCTCGTTCCATTGCACCCGTAACACTTGGTATCAGAGCCACCTTATTTTCGGACCGCGCATCTCTACACCCAGAGAAATCGACTTTTGATTTTTTTTCTCAAAGGGACTCACACCCCTTAGCACCTAGGAGTCGCTGTCTTCGCGTTCTCTCGTAAATGCGTGCAGCCACGACTGCGCCTAGAACTAAGCTGAGCCGACGCCCTTCGACATGGCCGAGCATATCGACGTCACGGGTCTCACGCAGGAGCGTCTGAACGAACTGCTGCAACAGCTGCGCGAAAATTCCGAAGAAATCGCGGCATTAACGGCAGAACAAACGTCAGTGCAAAACGACGTCGTACGAGCACAACAAGCACAGTCACAGACACAAGGCACGCACGGACAACCCGCACGACAGGCATCACAACATGGAAGCGTGGGGCAACCCTCGAGCGCGGCTAGTGATGGCGTCGCTCGCAACGATGGAGACGACGACCACGGCGCGACACACCCCGGAGCGACGAATGCGGCCAGAAGCCAACCTCGCGTTACGATTTCGGTGCCGACCGGCGAGTCAGCACTGCCGTCGCCGATGCCGCTGAAGCCGCAGCGTCCGCCTTGCTTTGACCCGAGTCAACGGGGTGGTCCTACCGTTCAGGCGTGGCTGTTTACGATGAATGTTTTCTTCGACGCCAACTACGTCTCGGAGGATTCGGCGAAGATTCGTTACGCCGTGTCACTACTGCGAGGACCCGCCATGGACTGGTGGCACGTCATCGTCACGAAGCCAATGGACTACGCGACTCTACCGACACGGGAAGGACAAACCGGACCCTGAGCGCCGTCGTATTTCGTGGAGGTGCCCCAATATCGCACGTGGCATGAATGAAGCCTTCCGCCCGCTTTTAGATAAGTGCGTAATTGTCTACTTAGACGACATACTGATCTACAGCCCAGACAGTGCACAGCACCTACAGGACATCCAAGCTGTTTTTTAGAACCGCCTACTGACCAAAGCCTCTAAGTGTGAGTTTCTACAGGACAGACTGGAGTTTCTGGGGCACGTGATTTCAGCCAACGGAGTGGAAATAGACCCGGAAAAGAACGCGACGATTCAAGCATGGCACGCGCCGACCAACTTGACTGATTTGCAGAGTTTCCTGGGGTTCGTCAACTACGTGCGACGGTTCGTCCCCGACATGGCGAAGTTGACTGCCCGGTTGACCGACCTGCTGAGAAAGGGGGTTGAGTACACGTGGGGGGAGAAAGAGCAAGCTGCCTTCTCGGCCCTAAAAACAAAATTGTGCTCACCGCCCGTACTTCACATCGCAGATCCTCACCGTCCGTTCGAGCTCGTCACCGACGCAAGTGACATCGCTGTGGGAGCAGTACTGTTGCAGGACTTCGGGAACGGCCTTCAGCCAATCGCGTACGAGTCCCGCAAGCTTCACCCGCCCGAGCGCAACTACCCGATACACGACCGCGAGATGTTGGCGATCGTGCACGCGTTCATAGTGTGGCGGTGCTACCTGACAGGAGCCGACGTGACAGTATGGGCAGACCATCATGCACTCCAGTACCTTCGCGCCCAACCGAATCTCAACCCACGACAGATCCGCTGGTTGGACTACCTGGAGTCCAACTTCCACTACACCGTCACGTACAAAAAGGGGGCGTCGAACATCGCTGACGCACTCATCCGCCCCACTGCCCAACTTCACGCCATCCTACTTGCCCAAACCAATCCACTGTTAATAGGCCTATTCACCCACGGATACAGTACCGACCCATTTTTCACAACCGGAAATTTACAGCAACTGGCTGAAGCAAAGGGAGTCTATTACGTAAAGACAGGCACCAACCGCATCTGGGTACCCGCGTACTCACTACTGAGGGAACTGCTACTGCAGGAGGCACACGACGGGGTTACCTCGTGTCACTTCGGGGTAGAAAAGACGCGACAGCAACTGCAGCGGTATTACTACTGGCCGGAGCTGTTGACCGACGTACAGCACCACGTGGGCTCGGGTCAGTTGCAGCCGATTCCACCACCCGAGCGCGCCTGGCAGCAGGTTACCATGGATTTCGTCACGGGGTTACCTTCGAACCCTGGGGGTAACGACGCGGTTATGGTCGTCGTTGACAGACTGACGAAAATGGCTCACTTCGAGCGTGCCGGAAATCGATCTCAGCGGAAGAAATCGCTCGCATGTTCATCGCAACCGTCGTTCGACTGCACGGGATACCAGCTGCGATAATCAGCGACCGCGACACTAAGTTTACCAGCAACTTTTGGAAGTACCTTTGGGAGGAGTTCGGGACCAGGCTACAGTTCAGCTCGTCGTACCACCCCGAGACCGACGACCCAACAACATGGGAGCAGCAGCTGCCGCTGATCGAGTTCGCCTTCAACAACGCCACGTCAGTGACGACGCAGCAGTCCCCGTTTTACCTGAACTACGGGAAAAATCCAACAGTGCCCATGACGCCGAGTCCGGACAACCCAACGCCACGCGCACAGCAATTTGCCGAGATTCTGCAAGCTGCCCGCACCAGAGCCGTAGAAGCGTTAAATAAAGCAAATGTCATCGCTAAGAGAAACGCTTACCGCCACCGCCGCCCAGTCACGTACCAGTTAGGAGACTACGTACGGTACTGCTCGACACACAGAATTTAAGACTGCCCGTCGTACCGAAACTTCGACCGCGATACTGTGGACCGCTCCAAATCAGCCACATGATCACCCCAGTTATCCTACGGGAAACAGGTTGGAAGATACCATAGCGCCACACCGGACTGCCATAGCGCCATGGAATGCCATAGCGCCATGGACTGCCATAGCGCCATGGACTGCCATAGCGCCATGGACTGCCATAGCGCCATGGGCTGCCCGCCATGGGCTGCCATAGCGCCATGGACTGCCATAGCGCCATTGACTGCCATAGGGAGAAGGGAGAGGGGGGATTAGCAAGAACCGAGGGTGTTCTGTCATGGCTCCAATTACTTACTTGCTTATCCAGTCGCTGCTGCTCCAGCTGCCCCCAACGCAGCAGGTGCTATCCAGTCGCTGCTGCTCCGTCTTCCCACCCACGCCTTAGCGTTGCCTCCCTGCACAGAGATCAGAGAGTCGCAGGGAAGGATAATCAGAGAAGAGAAGTCAACAGAGCAAATTGACAGAGTGAAGAAGACCGAATGCAAGGAGGAAAAAGGACAGCGGAAAAACGACAAAGAAAACGAACGCCAGTGAGTGGGAAACGCGAATGAGGAGGAAGATGGGAGGGCGAGGAGAAGAAAGGAAGAGCTCCAAATGCTTATTTGCTTCTCAAGTCGCTGGTTCTCCAGTTGCTGCTTTTCCACTCGCCGCTTCTCCAACACAGCAGCACCGCCTCCAACACAGCAGCACCGATGTTGCTATTCACATGATAAAAGCATGCATAAGGGTTGGTGACACATCACTGCAGAATTGTTTATATCCCGCTAAAGGGGTGGAGAGGAATATGCTTGAAGTTGGGAGCAATTAACAGGCAGGGTGTTTTGCTGGAGCCCTGATTGGTCCAGCTCCTAAGCGGCAGGTGAAGGCATCACGGTAAAATCTCACTATATCAGCCTGCTTCAGCAGGAAAACATGACTACTCATATCACAACCTAGACACAAGAAAGCACAGGTAAAGTCTGGAACCATGCGGGACTGAGGCAAAATCATCCTAATCAGGCAGCAAGCCTTAGTTAACCCCCTTTGGAAGAGCAACTTCCCGCGGGACACTCGTGGGCAGTGCTTTAAGCTGCACATAAAGAATGGAAAACAGGAAAAGGGAAGGATGAATTCTCGGGAAAACAGCAAGCATACAGCAAGACACAGAACAAAGTAAACCAGATGACAGGTGAATCAACATAGGCACATTATTGCAGGGCAACGTCGAACTCACCCTTGGGGTCCCAGAGGATGGTGGTGTCGGCGATCTTGGAGGTGACCACGTAGGGGTCCATGTTGCTGGCCGGCCGGCGGTCCTCAAAGTACCCCTTCTTCTCCGCCTCCGTGTCCCGCCCCACTCGCACCGAGCACCCACGGTTCGCCACACCCTGAAATACACAGGGACAATGGGACGACATCAATGAGCAAGAGTTCGTTCAAGCTACAGAAGTGCGTCAGTGCCATTCAGGTGGCTGCTTGTTTGGTACCAAGTCACATCTCAACATGCAACTTCAGAGTCATGCGAGAACATATCCATGTGCTGCACATACACATGCCATTCTCATGCACTGGTCATTATCACACGCCGTACCCATGAGAAGGTGTTGACGTCAGCAGTCTCGTGCTTGCCCGTGAGGCGCCGCTCGTTGCCCTCGCCATAGGCGGCGATGTGGTCCTTGTGCCGCAGGCCCAGCTTCTCAATGGCCTTCAGGATCACGTCGTACCCGCCCTCCTCGCGCATCGCCTTGGTGCTGTAGTTCGTGTGGCACCCTGCACCGTTCCAGTCGCCCTGTGCACGCCCAAGCAAACAGAAGCGAGCGTATGAAGTCAGTGAGGTGTCAGGACTCCACAACGGCTTGCTCATGAGAGAGTCATGCATCTAGGGTGAGTGATGGCAGAAAAGTGACGCAAGCAAACACAGCACCAAGCGCTTACCTGAATGGGCTTGGGATCGAGCGTCAGGACAACACCAGCCATCTCCGTCACTCTCTGCAAGAGCAAACGCAGCACACAATGCGGCGCGTTAGGCAACGTGTACGCGACAAACTAGGTAGTAGAGAAGAACGAGAGAACGTAAGTACTTCGAGCACGATCCGACTCCATACCTCGAGCAGGTAGCGTCCCATCCAGAGGTGATCGCCCGCCTCAATGCCCGTGCACGGACCCACTTGGAACTCCCACTGGCCGGGCATGACCTCTGCATTGATGCCGCTGATCTTGACCCCCGCGTACAAGCACGCCTTGTAGTGCGCGTCAACGATGTCGCGGCCCCACGCCTTGTCCGCGCCCGTGCCGCAGTAGTACGGCCCCTGCGGCGCGGGGTACCCGCCCTTGGGCCACCCGAGCGGCCAGTTGACGTCCTTCTGCATCAGCGTGTACTCCTGCTCCAGTCCGAACCTGATGAAACGGAGGCAGAGGGAAAGCAGCAGACGGTACTAGGAATCAGTGGTGGTCATAATGTGCAACGGTCCAGCTCCTCGTGGCACCAACGCCGCATTGCTGACGCAAACGATTGACAATTGTTCCAGGAATTCTTTACGATTGAAGAGCGCTGCTCATGCGCTGACTCACCAGGCCTCGTGCTCCTTCACTTTCTCGAAAATTTCGGCGGCGACGGCGCGCTTGTTCGTGGGAATGGGCTGGCCTTGCGGCGTGTAGCAGTCGCAAATGACCAGAATGTTGTTTCCTCCGCGGAACGGGTCCTTGAAGATTGCCTGCGGGCTGCAAGACAATGCGAGACGGATAATGAGGGTCAGGAGGGATACATGCAGACCGCAAAATCAACGGCTGATTCAGATGCACTTGAAGAGCTGGTTCCGATGATGGAAAGTCTGTTGCATCTTTGACATCGAGCTATTTCGGACTGAACGGCATAGCGAGACTGGCGACTCGTTCCCAGTGCGAAAACGGAACTTACTAGAGAATGACCTCGCTGTCGTCACCGGGTGCCTGGCCAGTGCTGGAGCCATCGAAGTTCCACTTGGGCAGCTTCACCACGTCATTTGGTCCAATGGGACCCTTGAGAGTCTGTTCACATTTCACGACAAGTGGCAAATAATCATTGAACAGAATCAGCTTCAGTTCTTTGGTTGTTAATGGAGTGAGAGTAGCAGAGCGGTACGGAAAGCAGTCCGACAAATTATCATGATGCTTACCCTGGCCTTGCTCCTTATGTCAATGCCAGAGCCGCCGATCCTGCACACACATGACAAGCTCGGATCATGTTAGTTTTCGCAACCAAAAGAGGATCGAATACTGAAGACGTGGTTGACTGTGATGCAGAGCGAGAATCAGAACTGACCAGATGTATTCAGCGATGATTTCGCCAGTGGTGATCTCGATGTTCTTCAGCTCATCAATGGAGGACGCCATGTTCACTAAATAACGATGACAAAGAAAAGCAGGCAGGCAAGCCGAAGAATCGGGAGATTCTGGGAAGCGGATGTGGAGATATTGAACGTAAAATAACAGCTGCTGATCTCAACTGTGAAAACGCTGTGATTTTTAGTCGAACGGATGTTCTCAGGGATTTGCCTTGGGAGTTCCCTCCCTCAAGCTGTCACGAGATGATCAAAGCAACTGAGGAATCTGCGGCAGCTCACTCGTGCAAGAGAACGCGCGGCGAGGAATGTACTTTTTTTTCCGGTTGACCCATCGGCTGCTGATGCGTTGTTCAGCAGCCATTCCAGGTGAGCCACATCGGAAAGCTCACTGCGTTACCCTGATTAGTTGCTATTCCACATCGGCCAGAACAAGAGGACACGAGATTCAATATTTGACATCGTGACCGTTCCCTCATCACAGATCGACAGTTCGCACACTGATAAGTTAGCTTTTTGTCACGCTGGCCAATGCCTAGCACAGATCAGCCAAAAGATCTTGGGGGCAGCGCGTCGCACGGAACTCTAGCTGGGGCTCCACGTGATCGAAACTTCCTTCTTTACTGGAAAAGTTTGGCTGTTGGAAATGGATAAGGTCAGATATCCATTTCAGTTCGCGCCATATCAGCAATCCTTCCTCCGAGTGGGCTCCACGGCAGCCCGCTTCGGATTTTCACGTCTCATGAGCAACCACGGGGAATTGCAAATGTCATTTATTGGACGTCCCCGATCACATGTCATTCCAGCAATGCTTCAGCACTTCCCAACTCGTCAGTCGACGCTGTAGATATTTAGCAATTGATGTAAAAGAACAATAAATCTCTAACAGACTTCTACGGTTTGTCCATTCTGAAGGATGGCTCACATAGCCCATAGCACAATTTCGCGTTCTCAAAATGGTGCAAATGTATGTGAAGACTATATTCGTCTGAAAGGGTGTAAGCCTGAATATACTGCCTGATATAAGCAATTTCATCGATGAGCATGTATGACATGACAACAAATCATAACACAGTCCAGTATGCAATACATGAGTACCACTTCAACTTCAGAGCCAGGTGGAATCCAGCTCCAAATCAGTTGCTAGTACCAGATGCACTGTCCTGTTCTGAAGCAAGTCCACTTTAAAACACAAAAGAATAAAATGGTTGAACAGCAAAGTAAACAAAAGTCAACCATCATAATATAAACACGACCATCAGCATGTTTTCGATGTTGCGAGGACACAATCAAGCAGCTAACTTATGACTGGATTAGCCATAGCTGCCTGAAACGATAAGCCACGCACACAACCGTTCAAGGCCATGTTGCTGACAGACCCCCACGACAGCGAGCATGCACTTGAGAGCAAGCTGACCAAGAGAATCCAGGGATCCGAATCTTCAAACAATGACCATACCGTCAGCCCCCATATAAGCCCCCATGGGGGGGTATAATAAAACATGTTTTTGTAGGGGGTTGGGCTTATAATCGAGGATTTTTATAAGCGCCGGGGCTTATACAATGACATACCGTATCACCCCGGATATAAGCGCACCTGCGCTTATAATAAAACAGTGTTTTTAGGGGGGTGCGCTTATAATTGAGTAAAAAATATAAGCGCATGCGCTTATAAAATGACAAATACAAATATAGAATTTAAAAACACCAAATTGTACATCTCTTCCCTGCGATTTCAATCGAATCGAAATTGTAAAGTGTCACAGATCAGAATCGCGCGCGCGAGCGATTCACTGCCGGCGCACATAAGCAAAGTACAGTGTAACACCCCACTTTGGGGGCGTGCCAGCTCGTGCTGACTGGACGCGCAGGATGTGAGGTCCTCGAAAGTCAACCTAAGCGAAAATGGCTGTGGCCTCGCTGCAAAATTGAAATTCGTTACCATGTTTATCAAGGATTTAAAAATAAAATTACACATGCGCTTATAATATATCATGGTTCTATAAGGGGTGCGCCTATAAATGAGGATCGGCCATAAGCGCATTGCTCCAGATATAAGCGCATGCGCTTTTAATAGGCCTGCGCTTATATCCGGGGTCATACGGTATATGAAATCTAGTTGTTTTCACTCCAAAGTGTTCATCTTGTCATTGCGATTTCAATCGAGTCAAGATTATAGAGGGTTGTCAACAAGAATTGTCAAACTTATACTCTACAGTTTGTTTAGGCTGTAGTGGGGTAGTTACTATGGGGTACAGCAAGTTTAGGTTTTCCTACTTGTACCCACCCCTTTCCTAGTGCATTCACTCTTGTTCATTCTGACATGGTATTACGAGCCTAGGTTAGGCACCTAGGACCGCTTAGTACTACGGGCCCACCGTTCCGCTAGAAGCGCCCTCGTGCGCCCTGCCTTCCTCGCGCCCTCGTGCGCCTCTCTCTGCTCGTGCGCCCTCGCGCGCCCTCCCTCTCGCGCTGCCCGCGCGCAGTCCGCTAACCGCGCGCGCGTAGCCTGCTAGCCGCCCGCGCGCGGCCCGCTCACCGTGCGCGCAGCCCGCTAGCCGCCTGTGCGACCAGCACCGCCCGCGCGCAGCCCGCGAAGGCCTCGTGCGGCCCCGCGCGCAGCCCGCGCGCCGCAGCTGCTCGCACGCCGGCCGTTGCAACCCGCGCGTAGCTCGCTGCCCGCGCGCAGCAGCAGCCCGCGCGCAGCCGCAGCCCGCGCGCAACCGCAGCCTGCGCGCAGCCTCACACCAGCGCGCAGGCCCGCCGTCGCGCCGCCCTGCCTTTCCGAGCCGCGCCGCGCCGCCCTGCCCGAGCGGCGCCGCGCCGCCCCGCCCGAACCGTGCCGCGCCGCCCTGTCCGAGCCGCGCTGCCCTACTGCTACTGCTGTTCCTGCTGCTCCTACTGTTCCTACTGCTACTATTGCTACTGCTACTGCTGCCCCTATGGCTAGTCCCACCGTTCTCTCTTTCGATGCTGAGGGCCGTCCGATTCAGTTTGATGCTTGGCTCGACGACCTGCACCTGTTCCTACAGATCACTGCTAAGGACGATATCTCGCTGTATGATCACGCGTCCGGAACCGCTCTAGCACCTGCTGAGACTGCTGACAGTACAGCTCGTTCCCAGTGGCAGACTCGTGACGCTCATGCTCGCCTAGCCATTCGCAGCCACCTGCCGTTAGATGAGCGCGTGCATTTTGGCCAGCACAAGACTGCTAAGGCACTGTACGATGCTGTAGTCGCGCGCTACTCCTCACCTGCCTCTGCTACGATCGGCCGTCTCTCGCTGCCCTATCTTTTCCCCGATCTGTCCGCCTTTCCCACCGTCGCTGACCTCATCACCCACCTCCGCACTAGTGACACTCGCTACCGTGCCGCCCTTCCTGCTGAGTTTCTCGCCAAGAACCCCCCACCGATGTACCTCACTCTCTACCACCTCGTCACCCGTCTCCCTGACTCTCTTCGCGCAGTCAGGGACCACTTTCTCGCCCTCTGCCCCACCGAGCTCACCGTTGACCTGCTCGAGAAGCACCTGCTTGCAGCTAAGGCTAGCATAGTCGCTGTAGGTGCCTCTCGCGGCGACCCCCGCACGCCCTTCTTTGAAGGGTGTTCCCCTTCCCCCCTTCTCCCCTCAGTCGCCTCTGCTGCTGTCGTCGACTACCTTGGAGCTGAGGAAGTCGGGGCTGCGTCTGCTTCTAGTGGGAGGCGCAAGGGCGGCAGGGGCAAGGGGGGCAAGGGTGGTGGGGGTGACGGCGGGGGAGGCGGTGGTGGTGGCGGTGGCGGCGGTGGGGGCGGTGGCGGTGGTGGGGGTGGTGGCGGGGCTTGGGGGGTCAGTGGCGGCGGCGGGGGTGGTGGCGGCAGCGGTGGTGGAGTTGGCCGGGGTGGAGGCGGTGGTGGTGGCGGCAGTGGGCGTGGTGGCGGCGGCTGGGGTGGTGGTCGGGGTGGACCGGCGCAGCGTGGAGGTTCTGGTGGTGTCCAGCGCCAGCTGCAGCGTCTCGGAGAGACCCCGTCGCCCCAGCAGCTTCGTGAGTGGTACTCTCAGCATGAAGGGTCTGGGGGTGGAGGTACCTGCCCGTATGTCATCCGCACAGGTGACCGCGCTGGTCAGACGTGTGGGAGGCCCCACACGCAGCAGCGCTGCTTCTCCCGTCTCGACGACGCCTGGCGTGCACAGTTCCCTGACGCCTCCGAGCTGCCCCGCTGGGCTGATCTGCTTAAAACGAACATTGATATCTTTGCTCTTGACTTTGATGTTATCCTTGGTGCCATGTATGCATTGACTATTAGTGTTGAGGGTGACTGTTACCTGTGTGTCCCGCCCGACCCGGACATTGAGACCAGTGAGGCTGCCGCTCTAGGTGCTAGTGCGTCTGCTGCCTCAGGTCCTAGTGAGGCTGCTGCTCTAGGTGCTGGTGAGTCTGCTGCTTCAGGTGCTCGTGAGTCTGCGCCTTCAGGTACTGCGTCTACTGAGGCACTGTACACCTTCACACTGGACTCAGGTGCTTCCCGCTGTTTCTTTCGCGACCGCACTGCCCTAGCGCAGCTCCCTAGGCCTGTTGCTGTCTCCCTGGCTGACCCCTTCGGGGGTCCGGTCCTTGCGACCTCCACCACTGCCCTCCCTTGTCCTGCTGTCCCGTCCGGCACACTGTCGGGTCTTTACCTCCCCTCGTTCTCTACGAACTTGGTGGCGGGTTCCGCGCTCCAGGACGCGGGTGTTCACCAGTTCATCCATGCCTATGAGCGTGTGACACACTGCACGTGTGCTCAGACGGGTCGTCACCTGGCTACCTTCACTCGGCAGCCAGGGTCGAACCTGTACACACTGACCACTGAGTCCCCTCAAGTAGCTGCGTCTGCGTCTACGTCAGGTCAGTTGTCCGCCCCCTGCTCGTGTCGCACCTTGTCGCACCAGACGGTCCTCTGGCACCACCGCCTTGGTCACCCTTCGATGCAACGCCTTCGTGGCATGCACTCCCGTTTCCTTGTCTCTGGTCTCCCCAGGTCACTGCCTCCCTTGCCACCGTCCCCTGCCCCTCCCTGCCTTCCCTGTGTCG